GTGGGATGCATGGAAAGCAGTTGAAGGTAGTGAATGTGAATGTGTATTATGCCACACAAAGATGCTTTGTTTTGTTCCCTTCAAAGTAGTGAATTTTTTTTTTCCTTTTTTGTACATTTGATTATGAACTATACAAGTGGAGATAGCTCTTCTCTGTTCCTAAATCCCTCTCCACCTAACTCAAGGACTCAACTTAGGGTTTCAAATTCTTAACTATTAAGTCATTCCATTGGGGTTCAAAGTATTGCATCTAACACACTGCTAATTTTGGATTATATCTTCCTCTTGCAGGGAAATCCAAGGACGAAGCAATGAATGACTACATCACCAAGGTGAAACAGTTAAAGGAGGAAGCTACTGCTGCTGCATCTTCTTGATCACCTAATACTACCTGTGTTTTCCTGCCATTCACCCACCATATTTGAAAAACATTCATCAAATCCTAAAATAACCACTGTACTTTTATTATTGTTTGTGTGTAACTGTTACATTATGTCCTTTGAAGTAGACCTTTCTATGTGCTTGTGTCATGAATCGGCTTCAATGAATGGTGAAGGGAAGTTTCTCCTTAACTTAGAAATTAGAATGCAGTTACGCTCCTTAATTTCTATACGTATGAGCTAATTGACTTACGTGGTGTTTGGCAACCCACTTGCCACCCCTGGCCCGATAATAGCCAGAGTTTCCCCCCTGATTGGCTGATTCCTAGTTAAGGTATTCAAGTTTGAATTTTCATTCAGCATTGGTGTCAGGATAATGAACCATTACAGGAACAGCAAAATACGTACCATAATCCCTGTGTCTCGAATGCTTGAATCTAGCAAGGTTGCTGTAAAAACTCAGGTCGTTGCATACCCGTACTCCATTGTCAGTTTCTTCACCATCCAACCAAATACCATCTATAACCTTGGTTCCTGAGCATGCCCATGTTTAGAGGCATATAACTAATATCTTAATAACTACCATTACCTCCTGTCCATTTTAGCCTTAACACGGTACCAGTGAAGAGTCCTGATTCTCATGTTATTTCCCAATAATGTAAAAAAAATTCTGTGCTTAAAAGGTACCAAGTGGCAAAAATCCATTAATTGCGTCTGGAACCAGTACAATGCAGTCAGAGATAAATGTAGCAAAGAATCAAACGGTTTTTAAAACGTGTTTTTAAAACATAAATTAAAAGTGTATTATTATATTTTTTTATTAATTTATATAAAAA